CTGGCTCCCGGCGGCTGCTGTTTGGCCCCGCAGTGCGATCTTTCGCTTCAGTCATGCTTTAAGAGAAGCACGACCTTCTCTGGTCCTCGAGAGGCCCGTCCATAAAATACCTGTGTCATCAGAAATGTCCCCAGATCGGGTCTTGGGCCCGTTACTGTTCTTACATAGCGACCAGACAAGCTGTCATTTCGCTTCAAGGAGTTCTTCTTAGTTGAAGAAATGATGAGCCTCCCCCACGTTTTCATTCAGTAACGGCTTGCTTTCATAGCTCTGTCTTTATATCAAAGTTTTCTCGCATTTGGATAGTAACCAGTCATTGGATGTTTGTGGTTGGTATGCAGAATTTTCTTGCAGATTCATAGGTAGGTCATTTATCTTTGTGTACGTACTTCGAGGAGGCTGACTGTCTTGTCAGGAAAGAGTTCTCAGATTTCAGTTTACAAGGATGCCCATAAGCCATGAACCAGTCTGCTTTAATACTGAAAAATGCTCTTTAAGCATTGGTTCTTCGTCTCTGGTAGGATCAGACCTGTTCTGCATGCCTCTTGGTTTGGTTTTTGTTCCCTGTTATCACCTCTTTTGCTGTAAGATGAGGTCTTCAGGTTTAATACAGAGCAGGTTAACACTGCTTTGCCTCTGACAATACAGAACAAGCCGAAGTGCACTTCTCCTGTTGCCTGTTCATTGTCAGTCTTTAATGTTCCTTCTGTGTGATTCACTTTCCGTACATCTTTGTCTTTTTTTTTTTTTTTTATGTTGTTCCATGTATTTGGAACGTCTTTCCTTGTGTGCATGCAGTGTTGTTGCTTAAGGAAATCCCATGTTTTTATTTTTCCATTGCTGACTGACAGCTTCAGCTTCCAACCTGCATTGCACAGCTTTCTGTCTCGTGCCTGCACCATTTGCAGAGTGCCCTGCAATGCAAAGCATGTGGTACAGGTAGAGGTCTTGGTAGGCTGGCAAAGGGGAGACAGGAGTGTGCCAAGTCCAGTTGCGTAAAAATATAATTTTGGTGAAGCTGATGAGCATTTTCAGTCTGGTCCATGCTGTGCTCTTCCCTTTTCGTGATCATCATCTGTGCTGTAACCTAAGTCTGAGTGTAAACCTTTGCTTTGATACACGAGCAGGTTGTGTATCAGCTAAGCCCATTTCTTTTTAAAATGGGATTGCTGGTATTCAGGTATGTCAAATGGCTTTGTGATTAATAATTAGCACATTTATTAATCATAAATCTGTGTTTTCACTTTGGAAGTGGAGACATCAACCCAGGACCCCAATCCAGTATGGCTAAAGTGTTGTTCCACGTACCCGGTGTGCATAACTCTGTATTTTTGTTTTTCTTCTTTAGATGATGAAAGTCACGCAGAATCAAAACTCCAGCACGAACAGGAAAAATCAAACTCCCTTCCCATTCCTTCAGTTTCCAAGCGAATTGTGCTTGGTGATTCTGTCTGTAATATGGCAGGCACGGCTGACCACGCAGGCAGCATGGTAGACCTCAAAGGGGATAAGGACTTGTTCGGTAAAACTCCAGATCTTGTCAATGAGGGTACAAGTGAGCTCCGTCTCCGTAATAGAGGGGAACTGCCATCTGAAGCTGCACCACGGCCACCTAGACATGGATTAGACCAGTACTTATCCAGATTTGATGAAGCTCTGAAGCTGAGGAACCAGCTGATGAATGAGAAGCCAAGCCAAGAGAATGGGAATGCAGTGGAGGAGTTTGACTCTTTCCGCATATTTAGATTGGTGGGATGTGCTCTGCTTGCCATCGCAGTCAGGGCTTTTGTGTGCAAGTACTTGGTGAGTTCAGGGAAATAAATAATCCCATTCTGTTTTGCTAGTTTACTGCAAACTTACTGTGAAATACTCTTTATCTAGGGCTGAAGTCTATAACTAGTGAATGAGTTGGGAACTTCAGGCACTCTTTAAATTTCCAACAACTGTATAAAACAGTGTTTGAGGAGCAGAAGCACTGGAATAGTTGTTGCAGCTTAAGTTTCCTGCAAGTTTAGTCCCATCTTTCTCAGCATGAGTCAACTGGTCTTCTAGTTTGGAGTCTACAAAAGAATAATAGAGTAAGAACAACAGTAGTTGTCCCAAGATAAGCAGATCCTACTCATTTATCAGTCTTCTGAGGAAAGTAGTTCCTCAGTATTCCAGGTGTCTGATAGTACGTGGTACGGGGGTGTGTGGCTGGTACAGCCTGCCACCTCCTGGATCACTGGGCTTGTTTTTACACACTGCTGTATGCTTCTGCAATTTCAGGTTTTTAGGCTCAAAGACAATAAGGCAGAAGCTTATTTTTGATATTTAACTTGTCTACTTAGGTTTGTAGTATTTAAGAATACTGTTGCTATTGTCTACAAATTATTTTTTTACCTACCTAATTTTCTTTTATGACATGGGAAGCATTAAATTTCTGTGTTTTCTTAGCTATTACTTCTGACAAAGTTAATTTTCATATATTCTTTTCTGTTCCTTCAGTCAATATTTGCACCATTTCTTACTCTACAACTTGCTTACATGGGACTGTCCAAGTACTTTCCAAAGGTAAAATATTTTTTTCAGAATTAGATTAATTTGAAACGTTTTAAATTTAAACTTGTGCTTAGATTGTATTGTTTTAGGACCAGTGCATGTGCAGTATCTTTCCCTTGTTTTAAACTGTAGAATTGAGAGTTACCAAATGCTGTTAGTTTATATTAGTTTTTTAATCTTCCCGGATTTAGTCCAAATCTTTTTTAGAGTTGCTGTGAAAATGTGGACTAACAACTTGTTTAGCTGTAGTCTGATCAAAAGCATCTGACCAGGAAAGCCAGGTAGTTCTTTCATGTATTTAGGAAACTTTGCCTTTTCTTCTATACCGTGCTTTTCTGTGGTTACTGTTCACTCTGTCAACAGCCATTTTACATGTGATACCTGGACAAAATTTGGGAGGGTGTTTGTTATGAAATGACACAGTGCTTGGGTATTTAAGGGCTATGCATTCCATTGCTAGTATCAGTTTGAATGGCAACTTGAAATGAGACATGTATTTGCGTGTGAAACTTGCTGCTTATTAGCAAGATTTGCTATGTCACTTGCTTTATTATATTTACACCAGTTAATTGTGATGAAGTATTTGTTTGGTCGATGATTTTGTCAGGTCTACAGTGCAAAGTGAGACTGAATGATGCTTTAATCCATAGTTGAAAGGGAACATTTGCATTTAAAAAGGAATAATAGATTAGCTGTAGAAAATCAGAATAAATCTGTGGTTCTTTGGTAGTTAAGTATATCATTGAAAACTAAACTTCATAGTAGTCATTCTAAGCTGACATGTCAAAACACAAAACAGTGGAATTAGCCTTAGATTTGCGCTAGCTCATCTGCTAGATCTTTTTGATCTTGTTTCTGCTGTTTTTAAAATCAGCTCTTCAGTTTCAGAATTTAAAGAGGTGGTTCATTTCCACAACTTGCTTTTCCTGCACTTACATCCAGCTGAGCTCAGTCAGCTTGTTATCCTTCATTTTTCTCTCATGAAACCTAGGAAGATTCTTGAAAGCTTAATTTAGATTGGATTAAGTTAAGATATCCAGCAAGTATCATCAAATTACCAAAATCTTCAGCCACTATCACCTTTTCCTGCCTGTCAGACTTTGCATCCTCAGGATTTGTCGTCTTAAGGACAGCTGAACAGCTTTCAAAAGGGTTTTGGGGCATTTCTGAGTTCAGAGGATGAAACTGTCAAATGGAGTCATACTAAAATAGAAAGGAACAGTTGGTTTTTAATTCTAAATAATTTTTCCGTGTTAGAAAAGTAACAGTATCTTTCGCCGAGTAGTGTGATGAGATTAATCCTGTTCTGCCAGTGGAAACACCTGGCTTGGCGTCTTACAGCCAGGTTGCCCTCATCTGGGACTCTTCCCACTCATGCAGAAGCTGCTGCACAGCCTCACTTTATAGCCTGCTTGGAGTGCCACCATGAAGCAGGCATAATATCGGTGATGAATTTTATCTGCTGTTACCCAGCCTCTCACTCAGCTCCAGTGAATCCATCACAGCATGAATCTGTAGCTAGGATAAGTGTTGTGAATCCTGGAGCGTGTCTGGAGAGAATCAATCCAAACCGGCTACTCTTACCGATGAATTTGGAATGTGCCTGACTGTGTGTGAAATTGGCACAACATTCGTGACATGTAAAGCAGGATTGGATTACAACAGAAGAACTAACATAACACTGTTTTTTTTCTTTTAGTGTGAGAAGAAGGTGAAAACGACAGTATTAACTGCTGCTCTTTTACTGTCTGGAATCCCTGCAGAAGTGATTAGTCGCTCCATGGACACCTACAGCAAAATGGGAGATGTTTTCACAGACCTTTGTGTTTATTTCTTTACTTTTATCTTTTGCCATGAACTTATTCTGTTTTTTGGTTCTGAAGTACCATGATGGCTGTAGAATTCAACACAGTAGTTACGCTAAAGCTTTCTGGACTGTATTCCTTTAACGTCTAACTGTGCAGAGAGGTTTAAACCTTCATTAAAATTATTACCTGTTCGAATGCTTGAAAGGAGCCTTAAATCCAGTCATTTTGGGAAAGGAAGAGCAGGGTCCCAGACTGCCAGTTGTATTGGTTCAGTTTATTTAAATACTGTGTCTGCCTATTACAAATGTGAAGAATAGGATGCAAGTGTCAGTGGATGATTTATCTTGTTTAGTTAGATGATGCCCTTCTCAGCCTCCTTCATAAACATTTACAAAGCTGCCTTTGTTTTCCATGAGAACAAAGAGAAGAGAATTCCTTTCAGCAGAACCATATATCGCTCGCTCTCTCCAGTATGACTATAGCTAACAAGAACTGCTCGTTTTGTGGTGTTCCCATTTTTTTAAGAAAGCTCTAAATAAAAGAAATCCCTGTGTTCTGTTGTTCAAATTCAGAATGTTGAACCAAGTAGCTGCTTCTGGAGAATGTTGGTGAAACATGCCACTTTGTGGTCCTAATCCTTGCCTTGCTATACATTATTTGTTGTGATTGTGATTAATTTGATGAGTATAGTGCAAAACAGCTAAGCAGAACCAACAACAAAAAAGTCCTGTTCCTTACAAATGTCATTAATCAAAAAGTAGGAAGACATAAAATTGCTAATCTCACCTGTTTGTGAGTTTCCAGCAACCTAATCCTAGTGTAGCTCATTCATGCGCTTTCATTCTGATGCCTTTTTTTTTATTATTTTAACAGTTAATCTCATGAGGGGAAAGTTGTATATCGTGACAACCAACCTGCAGTATCAAATGTTTGCTCTAGTATATGTAAAACTTAAAAGGGAGCTATTTTTTTTTTCTAGCTTCTTGCAGGATTGTGTAAGACAACTTTTAATATGACATTAATTTCTGTAGTTTGTCTCTGTTTATTACCAGACATTTGCATGTAAACAGGATCTTAACTGCGGAGGAGTTCTGCTCCTGCTGCGTAATACTACAACCCAACAGTAGACAGTCTTTCATTCAGCAGAGCTATTTATGTAAAATTTTTTTGTACGTTTCTGAAATTGCCCAGTGAAATCACTGTAGCCGTTCCTGTTTAAATCCTGTATACTACAAGTGACAGTGAAATAAAAAATAGCACTTTGAGTTGATTCCCACATGAAGATCTATGTATGAAGGGAGAATAGCATTCTGTATTTTTTTCTGTGCATGTCCAGTCACATATGTGAAAAGAAGACAAATGCGGATGAATTCTGTCACTGGATAAAGTAGCAAGCTAATGAATGCTCGTGTTTTCAGTCTCGTATGAATTTTGCACAGTGAGAGGAAGTGTCATTCCAAATACCTTAAATGCTGATAATCTGTGAAAATTTCTATTGAAGCTAAATTTGGTATTATTTTCAACTTGTAGTTTTGTGTTTAGAATCTGGACTTTCAGGTAATCTAGGCCAATGCCTTTTTTGAGCGTAGAGAAACACCTATTTATCTTGTATTTGTCTGCAGAAATTTTTTTAGGGAGCAAAAGTATTTGATTATGCCTCTTTAAAGTAAATAGCGCTGCTTTCTGCTTAATCTTTTCTGTTAAAGCTTCCTGCTATCATTTTAGCACTGCATTTCTGACCCTAAGTTAGATATATGTTTGTTTGTGGCATTAAAAAAAGAAGCTTATGTTTTGATTTGACAATTTTCGTGTTTTTACTGGTTATTTTACAGTGAGTATTCTGTTACAGGTGTCCAGGGCTGGGCTGCAAAAGACTGATTTAGGTTGATTAGCACAAATATTTATTCAGAAGCTTTATGTGTGTTTATATTAGACAGGAATTTCAGCAAATTGAAATAACTGTCATTTACATTAAGGTTGAGATATGTAAATAATGAGTTTGCTCAAAAGTTACACTTGTTCTGACTCTATTTATATGCCGAAACGTGATACAAATAAATGGCAAAAATACTGTGTACTGACATCTGCAAAAAGCAATGAATTTTTAATCCTCAGCATAAAAATTTTAATCCTTATCAGCTAAATACCAAGAAAAAAGCTGACCCACGTGCTGTACGTTCACTCAACCCCTTGCACTGTCCTTGTATGCAAGGAAACGGGTTTTCTTCTCAAAGAAATCTTGCTGCAAGACCCGATGTGGAGCTTTTCAGCCCGTAAATGCTGTTTTTTGTCCGATGACCTCGAGGTGGGCTGGAGGAAGCCTCCCTGCCCTTGGGTGAGCGGGCACGGCGTCAGGAGGGCTTGTGCTCAAGGACGCCTCTTCCCCTTCGGTCAAGAAATTAATCCCTTTTAGTCCATTTTTAACTTATCTCTGTTCATGTACATAATTCTATTTAATGTTTATTGCCAAACTGATTGTTTTCTATTAAAAAGTATATTTGTTACCCCCTTCCTTGGCGGTTTGTCCTGGCTCGGGAAGAGGGCTGTGGTGCGTGGCGGGCACCTTGCACCGGGAATCCCGCCAGGGCTGGGCAGCAAGGCCGGGGCTGAGGCCTTTGCGCGGGCAGTTGCCCGTTGCTGCCCGTTTTGGGCGCTGCCCGTTGCTGCCCGTTTTAGGGCGCTGCCCGTTTGGCGGCGCTGCGCCCTCCGGCCGCCAGGGGGCGCCGCAGGCGGGCGGCGGGCAG